AAAAAAAAAATGTTTACAGCCTCAGAAATCCTACACAGGGTTGATAGGAGTCATAACCAACTTGATAGTACTTAACAACACCAAACATCAACTCCAGGACAAGGGGTTTGGTTTTGGGTTTTGGACTCAATGCATGTATATTTATACCTGTTTCTCTCCTTTGCATGAGTAGAGTGATGAAGATGAGTAATGAGACTTTGGGAGGTGATTTCATACTGGTGGGCTTCTCGGACCAGCCACAGCTTGAGAAGATTCTCTTCGTGGTTGTGCTGATCTCCTACCTCCTGACACTGGTGGGCAACACAGCCATCATCTTAGTCTCCAGTCTGGATCCCATGCTCCATACACCCATGTATTACTTTCTTACCAATCTTTCCTTTGTTGATCTCTGTTTTACCACCAGCATTGTGCCCCAACTTCTGTGGAACCTCCATGGGCCAGATAAGACAATTACTCCTATAGGTTGTGCTATTCAACTCTATGTGTCTCTGGCACTGGGATCCACTGAGTGCGTTCTCTTAGCTGTCATGGCATACGACCGCTATGCTGCCGTGTGCCGACCACTTCATTATGTCACTGTTATGCACCCACGACTTTGTCAGTCACTTGCAGGAGTGGCATGGTTGAGTGGAGTGGGCAACACCCTGATTCAGGGCACCATCACCCTTCGACTGCCCCTTTGTGGGAACCGGAAGATTTACCACTTCATCTGTGAAGTACCTGCCATGATCAAGTTGGCTTGTGTAGACATTCATGCCAATGAGGTCCAGCTCTTCATGGCTTCCTTGGTACTGCTCCTCCTGCCCCTGGCCCTAATCTTGGTCTCATATGGATACATTGCCCAAGCAGTGATGAGGATCAGATCAGTCCAAGCCTGGCGTAAAGCCCTTGGGACTTGTGGGTCCCACCTGTTGGTAGTGTCTCTTTTCTATGGGACCATAACGGCTGTCTATATTCAGCCTAATAGCTCCTATGCCCACAGTCAGGGGAAGTTTATAACCCTGTTGTATACGGTAGTAACTCCCACCCTAAATCCTCTCATTTACACTCTGAGAAACAAAGATGTAAAGGGAGCTTTGAAGAGGCTGGTGGGAAAATATTAGAATATAAGAAAATGAGAAGTTATGATGAGAGATGCAGACATAGTTTAACTAAGGTAAGAGTGCTGAAAGACACTGAAAGTCTGAAACAAAATTCTCAAGACTCTGAAGAATTCATGAGCAACTGAAACACTTTCTTTGATCCTCTTACTTAAAATACAATACTTAGTATACCAAGTTCAGAATGATATCTTTTTATATGCCAGTCAGTTTTCTTAACTAATAAAGGACAAACAAGAATTCCTCTTCCCAGAATCTCTGCCGGTAATTTTCTTCCCTTTCCACTGTTTCTTTTGTATAAATCCTGGCTTTCTTTGCTTTATTAGATGAAATCAGTCTGTTAATTTATTTCCCTTTTATAAAAGCAAAAATCTTGTTACCATCAGGTTGATTCTGACTCATGGTGATCTCATGTGTTACAGAATAGACCTGCTCCATAGGGTTCTCTTGCCTGTTAAGTTATCTGGTGTGGTGCTGTAGGACCAATACTGGACTGTGAACCATAAGGTTGGCAGTTTAAACCCATCAGTAGCTCCTCTGAAAGACTACACAGGATTGTTATGAGTTGGAAATGACTCGACAGCACTTAACAACTACAAGTTACAGAAGCAAATCACTAGGCCTTTTTCCTGTGGCGAAACTATGCGGGTTCATACTGCTAATCTTTGGGTTAATATTTGGTTATAAACCATTTGCATTACCCAGGGACCTTTTCATAAAAGTAATCAGTTTACTGATAATTAGCTAGATGTGTTTGAGTTATTCTTTTAAAGTGTATTCATAAAGACACAGAAATAATTCACATTTTGATTCAGCCCTTGGACCAAGAGAAACATGTAGTCTGAACTGTCATGTCATCTGAGTAGGATTCTGGGTGAACCTCCTTTAGTTAATCTGGTAAATTTTGTAGTTGACCTTTTATTATTCTTGCATTCTATGTCTGGTTCTTTGCTAAGTTAGCTTTTGATTGTGGTTTTGATTGTATAACTGATTGTGTCCATACAGCTGTTGGGGGTTTTGAATTTTGATTTTTGCAATTTGGTGATTGAGTGATTTTATCCCATAGTGAGCACAGGAATTTACATTTTGCCAGATGAAAACTGAAAGGGTATTTGAAATGAATTTATTTGGGGTTTGTGCATGTATATGTACGTGCTTGCTTGCTTAAGGATTCTAGCATTTCTGGCAATTACATTTCCTGGCACATAAGATGCAGGTTAAGAGGTTTTCAGTATTTTACCTTTGTGATTTTTATGGAACCCTCTATGTGCATTTTATGTTTGCACCCAAGATGAGTGTGCCCAACTCTAAAGATCAAAGCTCTGTTCCTCCTTGCAACACCCTGATTTTAAAAATATTAATCCGTTATGGGTTCAATTGGTATCAGTATCTGTAAAAATAAAGTTCATATGCCAAAGATGATCTTAATATGCCATAATTGCCACAAGTATTTTTGGCTTTAATAAACTTGTATTCTTTAAGGGGAAGCTTAAAACGGAAGGTACCTGAGTCTTCAGCTACCATGCTCAGCCTTCTTTGATCAATTTGCCAAAACTTCTACATGACTAAATAATTTGATATCAATGTTCCTTCAGGGTTCTTTGAATTGGCTAAGTAAGTGAACTCAGAAAAACTTACATCAATGGAAACTGGGATGACTGAATCAGGAAAAGGAGGACTTCCTATCGCTATATAAATGAAGGTTTTCTATTTCCAAGGCTTAAGCAAGTCAATCCTTTAAAGAAAAACTTCTGAAAAATATGTCCTAAGTTAAAAGGCCTTGTTGTTGTTGTTGTTAAGTACCATGGAGTCAGTTCTGAGTCATAGCAACCCTGTACAGGGTTCCCAAGGCTGTAAATCTTTACGGGAGCAGAAAGCCTCATCTTTCTCCTGTGGAACGGCTAGTAGTTTCTAACTGCCAACCTTGAGGTTAGCAGCCTGATTTGTAACCACGATGAAGAAAAATCGAATGTTCTGCCAATTTCAAAAGGAAATAAAAAAACTACTCATATTCTCGTTAATAATACCTATGGAGAAATCTAAATATTTTGTTGCTTTTACTTGATAAAAATATTTCTGTTTCTGTCTTAAATCACATTCTACTAAGTTCAGCTTATGTAGTTTATATATAAGCTAATCAAAATTTCCATTTTTATAAATTATAATTTTTTTTTTTAGCCAACCAGTATTCCTTGACTCTTGGAAGATGTCTAGGCTCTTCTTCCCACATACCTCTGGGGGGATTCAAATTGCTAATGTTCTAGTTAGTAGCTGAGTGCTTAATTGTTTGTATTACCTAGAAACTCCTGACTTTATAAACAGGCAGATCATTAAGGGATAATTTCCCTTAAAATTTAGTGTATTGCTGATTGATTTATAAAGATCAATAAGTGCATGTTGTTGTTGTTGTTAGGTGCTATCGAGTCGGTACCGACCCATAGCGACCTTATGCACAGCAAAACGAAACACTGCCTGATCCTGGGCCAACCTCACTAACTGTTGCCACGCTTGAGTCCATCAATGCTGCCATTTGGCCTATCCATCTCATTAGGGGGTCTTCCTCTTTTTCTCTGACCCTCTACTTTACCAAACATGATATCCTTTTCCAGTGACTGGTCCCATATTAGATGAGTGAATTTGTGTGGTCTTGTAATAAAAACATTGAAAAGCACATGGACCATTGGCACCAACAGGAGTGGGAAAAGAGTGAGAAAGATAACTTGAGAATCTGGAACTCTGAATTTGATTCTTTCAGCGAACATTTATAAAGACTATAACTGTAAGTGTGCTGCTGTAGGATCAGCACTGGGCTGTGAACCATAAGGTTGACAGATCAAACCCATCAAGCTGCTCCTCGGAAACCCTATATAGGGTTGCTATGCGTTGGAACAGGCTCGATGGCACTTAACAACAACAAAACATGGGCGTACAATATAGTTGGAAAAATCTTGTGACCTGATATCAGATGTAGTAAACAGAAGAAGGCAGGGTTCATTCAGTTATGTTAAGATTAGACAACAATTGACCTTTTATTTTTCTCCTCCTCTTCTCATTTGTGTCGTTTGGTTTTTCCAGAATCGAAGGGTATCTCTACAAGCATATAAAATGACTGTTCAGAATAAAACTTATCTTTCAATTTCATAGAGCTTTGATTGGCTTTAGCATTATCTGTTGTCTATTATGGATGTAACGGAGCCTTGGTAGCATAGTGGGTTACATGTTGAACTGCTAACCACAAGTTCAGCAGTACCAGCCGCTCCACAAGAGAAAGAGGCGGCTTTCTGCTCTTGTAAAGTTTTACAGACTCAGAAGCTCTATACAGGGTCACGATGAGTCAGAACCAACTCTAAAGTACACCACCACCATCACCACCACCGTTACTGTTGTTAAATGTTGTCGAGTCGGTTCCGACTCTTAGTGACCCTGTATAGGGTTTCCAAGGAACAGCTGGTGAGTTTGAAGCACCGACCTTGCGGTTTCAATTGAAATTGCAGTCAAGTGCTAATTATAGAGAGCCACACCAGGACTCCGTTATGTATCCAAATTCACAGCAATCATATTATCTTCAATGTCTATGTCTTTACAAAGTATGTCTTTTGTTGGAGTATGCATTTTATTTTTCACATAGTTTGGTGTGTGTCTCAAATTTGTTCTGGTGTATGATTCTGATGTTTACTGTATTATTATATGTATTATTTTTTCAAAGCATTTGACATTTTTGTGACTTCACATATTTGTCTCTCTGAATAACAAATCAATCTATCATACTTTTTGTATTATTTTATCTGTTTATTTTGTATATATTTGCAGTCTCCAAATGCTCAAGTCTTAATTGGGTTGTTACTATTCCATTGCTATCCTATTTTCTCCACAGGAATAAACTAAGAATGACCAAGAAAGGGGATTCATTATTAAAAAACCATGAAAGGGACAAATGTTAGCAACCCAGCAGGTTTCATCTTACTGGGCTTTTCTGATATGCCCCAGTTGGAGCTGGTTCTCCTTGTGGTCATCTCTGTCATATACACTCTGACATTGATGGGGAACACAGCCATCATACTGGTCTCATATTTGAACCCCAAACTCCACACTCCCATGTACTTCTTCCTCTCTAATCTCTCCTTCCTGGACCTCTGTTTCACTACCAGCATTGTTCCTCAGATGCTGTGGAGCATCAAGGGCCCTGAGAAGACCATTAGCTACACTGGTTGCATGATCCAGTTATACATTGCTTTGGGACTGGGATCCACAGAGTGTATCCTCCTGACTATTATGGCCTATGACCATTTCAATGCTATCTTTTGACCCCTCCACTATGGCATTATCATGCACCCCAAGTTCCTCCATCAACTAGCATCTGTGGCCTGGATCAGTGGTTTTGTGGAGTCCACAGTTCAGACAACCTTTGTTTTCCAATTACCTCTCTGCAGTTACCACTGGGTGGATGATTTTATGTGTGAGGAACCTGCGCTCATAAAAATTGTCTATGTGGACACAACCTTCCTGGAAATTGAGCTCTCCATAGCTAGTGTCCTCTATGTGATTATACCTCTGGGACTTATTTTGGTCTCCTATGGCTACATTGTGAGGGGTGTGCTGAGGATAAGGTCAGCTGAAGGCAGAAGGAAAACAGTTGGGACTCGTGGGTCTCACATGCACTCTGTGGTATATAAACTCAACCCAAATACTCCAAGACAACAGTTCGTTGGGATTGCAGTTTCTGTCTATGTACAACCCAAAAGCAAATACACATAAAATCGTAGTAAATTCCTCACCCTGTTCTATACTGTAGTGACTCCCTCACTGAATCCTCTGATCTATACCTTGAGAAACAAAGATGCTGCTGACAAGAGACTCTAGCTAGGGAGAAATGTGAACTATACTAATTCCTCAGATGCTGGGAACCTTCAAGCATCACCTCACTATGATTTCTCCTTTCATTTAGGAGGAGGAGCTCATTATATCACTTAAATAAAAGTAGATGTGAAATATTCTTTTAATAA